TTATATGCAGAGTACATCATGAGAAACGCTGGGCTGGATGAAGCACAAGCTGGAATCAAGATTGCCAGGAGAAATATCAATAACTTCAGATATGCAAATGACACCACCCTTATGGCAGAAAGTGAAGAAGAACTAAAGAGCCTCTTGATGAAAGTGAAAGAGGAGAGTGAAAAAGTCAGCTTAAAGCTCAACATTTGGAAAACTAAGATCATGGCTTCTGGTCCCATGACTTCATGGCAAATAGATGGGGAAACAGTGGAAACAGTGAGAGACTTTATTTTTTGGGGGCTCCAAAATCACTGCAGTTGGTGACTCCAGCCATGAAATTAAAAGACGCTTACTCCTTGGAAGGAAAGTTATGACCAACCTAGACAGCATATTGACCAACCTAGATAGCATGTTAAAATGCAGAAACATTACTTTGCCGACAAAAGTCCATCTAGTCAAAGCTATGGTTTTTCCAGCACTCATGTATGGATGTGAGAGTTGGACTACAAAGAAAACTGAGTGATGAAGAATTGATGCTTTTGAACTGTGTTGTTGGAGAAGATTCTTGAGAGTCCTTTGGACTGCAAGGAGATCCAACCAGTCCATCCTAAAGGAAATCAGTCCTGAATGTTCATTGGAAGGACTGATGCTGAAGCTGAAACTCCAATACTTTGGCCACCTGATGCGAAGAACTGAGTCATTTGGAAAGACCCTGATGCTGGGAAAGATTGAAGGCAGGAGGATAAGGGGGTAACAGAGGATGAAATGGTTGGATGGCATCACCGACTCAATGGACATGAGTTTGAGTAAACTCCAGGAGTTGGTGATGGACAGGGAAGCCTGGCGTGCTGCAGTCCACGGGGTCTCGAAGAGTTGGACATGACTTGGCAACTGAACAAGAGCACTCACCAAGACACATGCAAACATATTCATAGCCCCAAACTGGAAGCTACCCAAATGTCCATCAACAGTAGAATGAATAAATGAACATAATGAGAACTAAGTCGCTTCAGTTGTGTCCAACTCTTTGTGACTCAACAGACTATAGCCTGTAAAGCTTCTCCATCTATGGGATTCTCCAGTCAAGAATACTGCAGTGGGTTGCCATGCCCACCTCTAGCAGATCTTCTCGACTCCAGGGACAGAAACTGCATCTCTTACATGTCCTGCATTGACAGGTGTGTTTTTTATTACTAGCGCCACCTGGGAAGTCCAGAATGAATAAATAAGTTGTGCTATGTTTGCAATCAGTTAGTGCAATGAGAAGGAGAAAACTACAAACACACACCACAGCGTGGGTTTTTTTTACAATATTATGTTGAGTGACACAAGAGTACATACTGCATAAATGCATTCACACAAAGCTTGAAAACAGGACAAACTAATATATGCCCTGGAAAAAGGGTATGTGTGTGTGTGTGCGCACATGCACATGAGTGCTCAGTCATATCCAACTCTTTGTGACCCCATGGACTGTAGCCTACCTCATTTCTCTGTCCGTTGGATTTCCCAGGCAAGAATACTGGAGTGGATGGCCATTTCCACCTCCGGGGATCTCCCCACTCAGGGGATGAACCCATATCTCCTGCATTGGCAGGCATACTCTTTACCACTGAGCTACCTGGTAAATAGTATAGATGACCTTATTTGCAAAGCAGAAATAGAGACACAGACATAGAGAAAAAATATATGAGTATTAAGGGGAACAGGGGTCGTGGGAGGAATTAGGAGACTGGGGCTGGCACAGATACACTACTGATGTCATGTATACAACAGACAACCAATGAGAACGCACTGCACAGCACAGGGAACTCTACTCAATGTCCTGTGCTGACCTAAATGGGAAGGAAATGCGGACAAGAGGGGATACATGCATACATATGGGCTTCCCAGGTGGCACTAGTGGTAAAGAACTGCCTGCCAATGCAGGATATATGAGACATGGGTTCAATCCCTGGGTTGGGAAGATGCCCTGGGAGGAGGGCATGCAACCCACTCTGGTATTCTTCGCATCACAAGGAGTCTGACACGACTGAATCTACTTAGCATATGCATGCACACATATGGATAGCTGAGTCACTTTGCTATACAGCAGAAATGAACACAACATTGTAAAGCAACTATATTGCTAACAAAAATTAATTTTAAAAAGTCAGGATTGTCATTCTTCTTTGTGAGATTTTCACTGGAAGGGGATTTGAGGGAGGTTTCTGGGGGTGCTTATATGTCCTGTTTTGTTTTTTTTAATCAGGATGCTAATTACATGAATGTGTTCCATTTGTGAAAAAGCATCCAGCCAGCCACGTATGATTTGTGCATGAAACTAACTGCATATAATTCATGCATAGAACAAAACCTCACAGCATGCTACTTCATCATTTCCAGTTTATTCTCGATTATATTTGGAGGGGCAGATTTTACATGATAGCTTCAAACCAACCATTATACGTTAACCAAATTTTACACAAGCCATTTGAAAAAAGATCTAAAAATGTGCTTAGTTATTAGTATTATATAACATTGATCAAGCACCAAGAGTGCGCTGAGAGCTTTACAGAACAAACATAGAAAAGACAGTCCCTGCCTTCGAGGATCCCCACTCCTTTAGACTCTAAACTTCAGAGTCGTGCCCATAAAACTTCACCTAATATTTCACACCCCTTTATTCATAAGGCATAAATAAGGAAGTTTGTTGCATTTCTCCTTGTTAATAAATATCGAATACCCTTTTCCCCTGTTATACCAACTATTATTAACATTGTTGCCTTTAAATACAAATTCCCAAGGTACAATATACAGTATACTCTGATTTGGTATTCACACAATTGAGCACAATCTTCTTGCAGGCTGGTTATAATATGAAACAGGTTGAATTTCAACATTCACACATTTTTATACCACTTAACAGAATCGTGTGTTCTCGGCAGAGCTTTTTTTGTTAAGAAAAAGGAGGTGCCGTGCTCTTAAACTGATAAACTATAAACAAAGACAGCACTGCCTTAATGCCAATAAGGGTATCAGAGCTTATGCAGGTTCCAAACAGTGACTTTCAGCACATCTATTAAGCCAGCCTTGCAGATACAAACCACATAGCTGCATGCCCTAAAATACTAATAATTTATCAGCTAGTAATGGGTGATACAAGTATGATTTGCATTACTGTATTTTCCATTTAAAGAAGGTACTGGCGTAAAATATCTGAAAACTGTGAGCTGGGAAATATTCTTTGCTTCTCTGCAAGGCTGTGTTCAGAGCAAATTTAGACTGAAAAAGAGGATGTGATGGTTACAACTTTATTTGGATAAAGAGATCTAATTTTAAAATAATCCCTTGATAACGTCCGATGGTTCATTTTCTTTAAATGAAAGAGAACCGAAGTGAATTTTGATAATATAATGATTTTCAGTTTAGGCACAAGAAATGGTACTTCATCAGAATATGCCAGATATGGTGGTAGAGGCTGTTGCTTACTACAGAAGTCAGGCCTGACCCTAGGTCGCCCACAGGGAGCTCATAGCAGCAGAAGATGAGAGGCAAATTTTAGAGGAATGGGTAGATGCTTCATTCCCATCCAGACTCTGGTCTTGACCCTTTCTGCAAACAGAGGGTTGGAGGAGCTGGAGTGAGTCTAGAGTTCCAGGGAAAGAAAGTGTAACAAGCTTGGGATCAATGGAGAGAAAGAAGCCAACTATGAACTTCACATTGTCTAGACCCCAAGACTCCAAGCATCCATCAGACTTCACGTCATGGCAAAGGTGCATAACTTGACACCAGCTCAGAGCTACCAAGCTAAGGACAATTGCTTTCCAGAGGAAACCCCTTTGTCTGGGGGTCATCTCTGTGTGGTCTCCCATGGGAGTGACCAGGTCTGGATGTTTCCATGATGCAGCAATGAGTGGAGCTGAATTTTAAAGCTACGCTGGACTTAGAGCAAGACTAAATTTCTTTGACTACCTCCCCAGATATGAAAAGTGTAAGAGAAAATTCTTCACTTCTATGCGTTGGGAGGGGGCTTATACTCGCCCCCTCCCCAGGGAGCTAGGCACGTGGCCCAAAGAGGGCCCTTTAAGAAGAAACTCACCCAAGGGCAGTGGCCATAGTGGTTCGGTCGATCCGGCGTGATCCTACCTGGCAAATGAAGGAGTCCGAATGGGATTTGACAAATTTTTCTTATCTTGGGTGACTGCATCTCCACTTCTCTGCAAATCACAGGGCAAGAGGTTGGCAACCTACCTACCTCTGCTGCTCTTGTGACTTAACCTGTGATAAAGGGGAGAGCGTCAGGGCTAGGGTGTTTTCTAGAGTGGTATAGATTGGGAGGAGACTTGGGAATCCACAACTCCCGAGGGTATTAACCTAGAATCCCCTTTGGGCTGAAAGAAATAATTTATTTAATGTGCCCAACCCAAAACAGAGCACCAAAAGACTAAATTCTGATGATAGACAGTAATATATATTAATATATTTTTCATTTTCAATTATAAATCCTCAGGTTTCCATACTAAGGCTTAAATTTCAGTCACCTAGCTGAAAATCTATACATAAACATGAGACTATAAATAGAGAACATGAAGACCTCTAAAAACGAAGGTTTACTACAGATGAGAGCATCCATCCTATATTTATTAACAACACAAAATGTTCTGACTCACCTTTGGGGGAACAAGAGAATTAGACACAGCAAGCTAAGCAATATTTGGAAGATTTTAGGATGGATGCTGAATTCCTATTGCTTTAAAATCTGAGATGCTTCCCAAAACTCCCTTTTAGGAATTTATTCTATCATCGGGCGTCCCTGGAGGCTCAGAGAGTAAAGAATCTGCCTGCAATATAGGAGACCCGGGTTCAATCCCTGGGTCAGGAAGATCCCCTGGAGAAGGAATGGCTACCCACTCCAGTATTCTTGCCTGGAGAAACCCATGGACAGAGGAGCCTGGCGGGCTAGAGTCCATGGGATCCCAAAGAGTTGGACATAGCTGAGTGACTAACAATTTCACTTTTCTTTCACTGGAGTGACATAATTCTTACTACCAACATTTATTTATATTCCACTTTGTTCTCGGAAGAATTAAGGTAGATAGTTTTTGTCCATTGTTTTTCTTTAACCTATAATAAGACATTAGGATCTGACGCTGAAAAGGATTCTTTCTGTTCACTTATGTCAAAGCACCATTCAACAGGTGGAAACTGAGATCAAATTCTCATGAATGACAACGGCTTCCTTACATGGGAGAAATCTTGCTCTCAAGTTAATTAACAGAGAAGACAATAAACCAAAATTAGGTATTTAGATAGACATATAGATAGATAGATAGATAAATGGTTAAATAGATCTTTTTTTTTTTTGCACTGCTGACAAATATTTGAAACTCTGGAATAGGTGCTGGAGTAGTTGAGAACACCTCAGAGCCTTTATCATATTATTGACAAGCTTTCAAAATCTTTTTAAAGCCATTGGAAATGGCTGGTATTATTGGTGCACAGCAACCACGGTTTATAGTTAGAAGGTCAAAGTTATGCCATTGTCTCTACTTTTCAAGGCACAAGGACAAGTTCCAAAATCAACTCATGGTAAAAGGTGGAGGATCTGTACTACCAGGAGATAGAAGATGGAGGAGATGACCCACACACCAAGGCAAGGATGGGAGGTCCTTTGGGATACTTTGACTTTCAAATGTTGAGCATACATCATTAGCGAGAAGCCCTCCCATGGCTTGGGGTGGCCACTGGAAGGTCTCCTAGCCTGAAGACCTTGGCCTATTAAGCAGAGAGGTCACTTCATGCCATGCCTGACTTGGCAGTCCAGTACCTTTCTACCCTGGGCACCAGGAAGAAGGTCCGGAATGTTTCCATGAAGATCTGCAACAAAGAGCATCATGATGACAGAAGGGCAAGTATGAAAAGTCAGTAGCCCTTGATGACAGTCAGCAGAGAAGTAAACAGTAACCCCCTATGGAAACATATCCTGTTACTTCATCTGCAATGGTCTAGGAACATTAAGGAAGAGAGAACCCAGGCTTTTCTTTCTCATCTTGCTCTCTCTTAGCTTCCATTAAAGAAGTATGTATTAACCATCTCCTCTATAGCATATTATCCACCATGAAATGGAAAGAATCCAACCAATTAACCTTCCTCTTCTTTTTTTTTTGGCCCAGAATTCAGTTTGTATCTACTGGTCGTCCATTACATTCTTTCGGTAGGAAAAGATATTGCACTTCTTAAAATTCATCCATGTCATTAAGTCAAAGCTAATAGGTAGGTAGACATCTTTCTAGAATGAATATTTTCTGAAGCCCATCATCAGCATTTGCAGAAAAGCCTCCATGGTTTCTGTTTCAACAAGTGGTGCCTGACCTGCCACGTGATTTTAGATTACAGACAGAGACGTCAGAGGTCACGAGCCATCGGCAACATTGCCTCCAGCAGCTCATGATTTCATCGTGCAGATGGGCACGACGATCACCAGAATGACCGTGCACGCAGCCGCAGCAATCAGAGCCGCTATCTTGCAGACCTTGGCTCGTCTGAATTCGGCTTCTTTCCGTTTTAGCAATGAGTCGTAGCCCGGAGTATAAATGTCTTCCATCCAATACTCTAAGTTGTTTGGATTTAAAGATTCTTGAGTCTAAAAGTGAAGAGAAGATGTTAGAAAGATGGTGAATTTTTGTAAACAGGTTCATCACCCTTGAAGCATCTCAGCTGGTGCTTGAAGCACCTTGAAGATGTCTGCAGCTGGCAGCAGTGTCCAAGCTGCCCACCAGCCCCTCCTGAGATGGACCACCAAGGACTCGGGGTCCTGCACACCCCAGATTGCATCTGCCCCCTCTTACTACAAAGGTCATGATGGTCTCGACACCGGAAAACCCAGAGGTTTTCTGGGGACAAGCAAAACAGGGCCGAGTCAAGCGAGAGTCAACACTTCAAGGGCGCACAGCCAAGAACAGGCTGGCCTCACTGTCGGGGAAGCAGGGAGGGTCACTGACAGATATTCCCCACTTACAGTCCCTAAGAACAGAGATGTCTGAAGCAAGGCTGTTCTATTACTCTGATTCACTTCCCAGTTCTTCAGAAAAAGCCTCTACTGAAAAATCAAAGGCACCTCCCATAGAAGCAGCTCAAACCAAACATATAATATTTCCATCTCAAACATCTGTCTGAGCAGGTCAGGCCACTGCTCAAAGGCCAGGTCTACAGACTGGAGGCAGACCACCCCCAGGCCAGGTGCGGCATCCCCAGTGGGAGGCCCCTCCCTGACATTTTGTCTCCTGGTCTCCCTGAGATTAACGATTGTCTACGAGAGAAATATCATATTTAACCTGTGTTGCCCATGAATCCCGTTCCCCGTGGATGGCTATAATCTATTTCCATAAAGAAAAGCAGTGTTCTCATTTTACAGCAAGCATTTAATAATGTGAGTGGCACATAAAAGCGGCAACACATTGCGATTCCAAGTTGAGGTCTCCTAAATCTCTGAAACACAAGTAAAATATCCATTTTGAAGATGTTCTCAGACTGGTCAATGCTGATAAACATGGGCATGTTACAAATTATGTACACATACACACACACACAGAATTACAAAACAAACACTTCCAAAACTTAAAAAACAAACAAACCTCAGTTGTACCAGGTTATTGGAATATTGATGATTTTGTCACCCACGTTAGTCATTCTCCACCTGTCCTTCCAGAGCAGTTCTCTGTTCTTCTCCACCTTGCTCTGGTCCCCCCAGATTTTGGTCCACACAGACGCATCCCTGGTGGGTTCCCTGGTGGCTCAGATGGTAAAGAATCTGCTTGCAATGCAGGAGACGTGGGTCTTCCCTAGGCCAGGAAGATCCCCAGAGAAGGGAATGGCTATCCATTCCAGTATTCTTGCCTGGAGAATCCCATGGACAGAGGAGCCTGGCGAGCTACAGTTAATGAGGCCACAAAGAGTCGGACACAACTGAGTGACTAACACACACACTGGTGGGTTCAGTTGATGGAGCACCAGTCCTCAGGCTCCCTCTCTGATGGACTACATTTCTATCTGACACCTGCTTTCACAGCTGTGGGTCCTGGTGGGTTTCAGAAATAGCTCCCATCTTTGGGCCTTCAGATCCAAGGGCAGCATCAGTCTCTCACTCATGCTGGTCCCTGGGTGCTTGTTGGGCTTTAAACCCCACCTACACTGATGCTAACAGTCCCCTCCTCCCATTCCTATCCTTCCATGAGTCTGCCAGCTGCTTCCTGATGGGATGCTGACAGTCCATACACCATGGACCCCTCTGGCATCTCTATTGTTCTCCTGCTGCTAATGGCCTTCTAGTACTGGGGCCAGCAGACGCCAGCCCGGGAGCTAAATTCAGCCCAACACCTGCCTCTATACAGCCTACAAGAATGGTCCTCACATTTTTTAATCACTGGGAAGAAAAAAGAAAAGAAAAACAACAGTCTGGGTATGTGAAAATCATAGGAAATTCAAATCTTAGTGTCAAAAGACAATGTTTTATAAAAACACAACCATGTCTAGTCATTTATTTAACACAAATTGTCCATAGTTGGCTCGAGACTATTATGGGAAGAGCTGAGCAGTTGAAGCCTAGGGTGCTGCAGTCCATGGGGTCACAAAGAGTTGGACATGACTGAGAGACTGAACTGAACTGAGCAGTTGTGATGATGGAGATTGTAAGGACTGCTGGGTCTTAAGGTAATTACTCTCTGGCCCTTTAGAGGAGAGTTTGCCAATCTTTGTTCTAGTCTATTCAGTTGTTGTTTAGTCACTAAGTCATGTCCCATTCTTTTGTGACCCCATGGACTGTAGCCCACAAGGCTCCTCTATCCATGGGATTTCCCAGGTAAGAATACTGGAGTAGGTTGCCATTTCCTCTTTCATAGGATCTTCCCAACCCAGGGATTGAACCCATGTCTCCTGCATTGGCAGGGAGATTCTTTATCATTGAGCCAATGGGGAAGCCCTCCCCTGGGTAGATGTGCTTTACGCACTGCGATTCAGTCAGTGAAATAAACTATTTGTAATTAGTTTTTTCAATAACTGCAAGCTGTCATGATACCCAGTAGCAGAGAGGTGATGCCAAGCTTTCACAGGACCCAGGGAGCATCTCTGATTGACAATTACACCTGCTCAACACTGGAAATGGAAACGGTATTTTTGATGTATCCTCAAGGTGCCATTGGTGGTAAATTTATATCTCGAAGCCAAGAGACAGCAAGAAGGTGGTCCAGATGCTGAGGCTGCCGTAAGACAGTACCTGGGTCTCTGCAAAGTGATGGAAACAAGGAGGGTGGTGCTTTTCTGCCTTTATCAAGTTCCCGATACCTGTTCTGCTGCTGCTGCTAAGTCGCGTCAGTCATGTCCAACTCTTTTGCTGCAAACACCCTCGAAAGGCTATGAAACTCCTTGCTGTCTTACATTTTGTGAGACTAGATATATTATCCTCTGCTTTTTAAAGTGCTGTCACCTGAAGCTCGCTAAAGATCTTTAACTTTTTATAATTTCACCTTTAGTGCTTATAAACATTGGCACTTTAAACTCACATATATCTGTAGGAGCAATTCTCTCAGACTCAGCCTTCTGGATATTAAAAAGATGTTTTTCAATCTATGATTCATTCAGTTAATCTGACCATGTCAAGGTCATCCCACGATACTGGTGAGACACTGATTATTCCTCCAGGTGAGCCATTCATACCTCCAGGTCTTCCCTGATTCGTGGCATCCTAATACTCACAGAGCACAGTGTGGTACCCACGGCAAAGTGTTAGGACCACCTCCAGGAGAAAAGAATCCTATACAGCCTGCTTGCCAGCAGGATGGTGACAGGTGAGGACATGGCCTGAAGGGTCAAGTGCTAAGCAGTAGGCATGTGGACATAAGGTGCAGGAGGGGACAGGGGCCACTATATCTCCAGGGTCATCCTGATAGCATCACCCACCTGACTCTCAGGATTTGGCCAGAGATGCTCCTCCCCATAACTGCTGTCAGTTAGGGACCAACATAAACCAATGTCATTGTGGTCACTTTAGTAACATGAAGCCCCACTATACTCTCACCAGAAAAATGAAATGGTGGCTAGGCAACATAAGATGAAAGAACAGAAGTCTTATTGCTGGAGAGTCCGACAGGAATTCAGACTTGTCGGACCTGCAGCAAGTTCTTGAGTTTCTCAGGTCTCAATTTCCTCATTTACCTGCTTGAGATGAACGTCATCACTCCTGCCTGCAGGCCACTGCACCTTGCATGACAGACTGTGTTAAAAAAGCACCACACAGGGGTTTCCCTGGTGTCTCAGTGGCAAAGAATCCACCTGCTAATGCAGGAGACTTGGGTTCAATCCCTGGTTCAGGAAGATCCCATAAGTGCAGGGCAACTGAGCCCGTGTGCCACTATTGAGCCTGTGCTCTAGAGCCCACGCATCTCAACTATTGAAGTCCGCACACCCTAGACTTCAGGCTCCACAACAAGAAAAGCCACCACAGTGAGAAGCCTACACACCACAACTAGAGAGTAGCTCCCGCTCACCACAACTGAAGAAAAGCTTGCACAGCAACTAAGACCCAGCACAGCCAAAAATAAATAAATAGTTTTAAAAAAACACTATACAGAGTTGATTGACTTCAGCATCCTTTTGTCAGCCTAAATACCTTTTCAGTCCCTGATTAATGCCAGGTACTTTAAATACACTCTTCTCATGTCTCACACCACCACCACAAGTTAGAGATTATCATGGACATTTAACAGGTGAGGGGACCACAGCTCAAAGAGGTGAATGTTCCAGGCTGCACAGCAGAAGAACCCTGGATGAGAATCTGCACTGTGGGAAAACATTCCTTTTCTCACCACTGTACTGCCCCTCCTGCAGACTCTTGGCTTCAGAGCGAGGCAATGTCAGGGAACACCTTGCCATGCCAGCCTCCACCAGCATCTCCCCAGCTGCCCTTTAAGTGGTGGGGACATTCAGGGACCTGGACGTGACTGGCAGCATTGAGACAATGACCTTGCTGCCCACAGATCTAACCGGCAGGTGAAGGCAAGGTGCTTCGCTGCTCCCAAGATGATACAGACACACAGATAGACGCAGCGTGGATGGAATCACCAAGATGCAAGTGTGGCTGAAACCCAGCCCTGCCTGTGGTTGAACAGCAAACACACCCTCTAGCCACAACTGCATTCACAGAGTTTCCAGGGGTGGCACTTACCTGGGGCTGCTCCGTACGGAAACATAATCCATAGCTTGGCTCCCACAAACATGCTTATCCCACGGGCTACATGTGGAAGGAGAAATCAGGCTTGTGTTCCATTAACCAGTTGGGTTCAGGTCTTAGGAGCAAGCATGAGAATCTGCACTTGGTACAGAGTCTTAAACGCAACGTTAGCAAATTGATGGCCAAGGTCAATCCATCAATGAAGCATTCCTGTTGCTAAATGTTTACAAGCCAAAAAGCAACATAGCAATCCCCTGGTTACACATCTCTGCCTTATGATGTATTCAGGTTCAGTATTCCATGGTGGGAACCAAGGGAGCTGAAGGGGAGGGAGTGGATGGCTAGGGCATCCTTCATCCATTTCTGCATCCACCAGGGTGTGGCCAGGTTTCCCCCACCTCACCCCCCCCTGGGCAAAGAGGCTCACCTGCAGGTCCAGGGCTGTCAGCTTGCCCTTGTCACCCGAACTGCGTGCATACTCCTCGATGGTCCAGGAAGGCTGGCCCCGCTTCACCTCTGCCAGCTCTGTGAGCCGCATGTCCGTGTACAGAGGGTTGCTCTTCATGTGGGCCTTGAGAGAGGCGGGGTAGGGGTGAGGGCTGAACACCTGCTCCACCAGGAAGCCGTCCTTGGGCTGCTTGGGCAGACGGTGCTGCGGGGGGATGTCGTACTGCCTTTCTGCCTGCAAAGGGGCACAGAGAAGTCCAGGAGGCCACACAGATGTGGTCAGATGTCACACTGGGCAGACCCCAGCTTTTCATCACTAGGTGCTGCCCAGGTAGCAACATGCAGTTATTCATGAGCAAATAGAAGGATTGCCTGTATTGGGGGACATTTACTAGGAAAAGCTTACAACATTAATACTACTCATACGACCCAACATTTCTGTGCCAGAAAGAGATGATTTTATCTAATCTTCACGCCATGACTACTACTATTAACACATATTATTCTGGTAAGGAAAAGAAGACCAGAAAGACTCAGTAATTTACCCCAGGGAGCACAGCTGCTAATGGCAGGGAGCTGGAATTTAAATTTAGCCTCTAGCTTCAGAAAAGCCTTGTTTAACCACTGCATAGTACCGCCCCCTCTTTCTTTCCTTCCTTCTTTCTTTTTTCTGCCACACTATGTGGTATGGCAAGATCTTAGCTCCCCAACCAGGAATTGAACCCATGCCACTTGCATTGGAAGCGTAGTCTTAACCAGTGGACCACCAGGGAAGTCCCGGCCCCCTCTTTCTATTACCAATTTCTATGAAACCCAGCCCTGCCTGTGGTTGAACAGCAAACACACCCTCTAGCCACAACTGCATTCACAGAGTTTCCAGGGGTGGCACTTACCTGGGGCTGCTCCGTACGGAAACATAATCCATAGCTTGGCTCCCACAAACATGCTTATCCCACGGGCTACATGTGGAAGGAGAAATCAGGCTTGTGTTCCATTAACCAGTTGGGTTCAGGTCTTAGGAGCAAGCATGAGAATCTGCACTTGGTACAGAGTCTTAAACGCAACGTTAGCAAATTGATGGCCAAGGTCAATCCATCAATGAAGCATTCCTGTTGCTAAATGTTTACAAGCCAAAAAGCAACATAGCAATCCCCTGGTTACACATCTCTGCCTTATGATGTATTCAGGTTCAGTATTCCATGGTGGGGACCAAGGGAGCTGAAGGGGAGGGAGTGGATGGCTAGGGCATCCTTCATCCATTTCTGCATCCACCAGGGTGTGGCCAGGTTTCCCCCACCTCACCCCCCCCTGGGCAAAGAGGCTCACCTGCAGGTCCAGGGCTGTCAGCTTGCCCTTGTCACCCGAACTGCGTGCATACTCCTCGATGGTCCAGGAAGGCTGGCCCCGCTTCACCTCTGCCAGCTCTGTGAGCCGCATGTCCGTGTACAGAGGGTTGCTCTTCATGTGGGCCTTGAGAGAGGCGGGGTAGGGGTGAGGGCTGAACACCTGCTCCACCAGGAAGCCGTCCTTGGGCTGCTTGGGCAGACGGTGCTGCGGGGGGATGTCGTACTGCCTTTCTGCCTGCAAAGGGGCACAGAGAAGTCCAGGAGGCCACACAGATGTGGTCAGATGTCACACTGGGCAGACCCCAGCTTTTCATCACTAGGTGCTGCCCAGGTAGCAACATGCAGTTATTCATGAGCAAATAGAAGGATTGCCTGTATTGGGGGACATTTACTAGGAAAAGCTTACAACATTAATACTACTCATACGACCCAACATTTCTGTGCCAGAAAGAGATGATTTTATCTAATCTTCATGCCATGACTACTACTATTAACACATATTATTCTGGTAAGGAAAAGAAGACCAGAAAGACTCAGTAATTTACCCCAGGGAGCACAGCTGCTAATGGCAGGGAGCTGGAATTTAAATTTAGCCTCTAGCTTCAGAAAAGCCTTGTTTAACCACTGCATAGTACCGCCCCCTCTTTCTTTCCTTCCTTCTTTCTTTTTTCTGCCACACTATGTGGTATGGCAAGATCTTAGCTCCCCAACCAGGAATTGAACCCATGCCACTTGCATTGGAAGCGTAGTCTTAACCAGTGGACCACCAGGGAAGTCCCGGCCCCCTCTTTCTATTACCAATTTCTACCTGGTCCTGAGGAGTAAAAGGTACAGGTATTCTCCCCAAGGAGTTGGCCAAAACCACGGATGACACCTTGCTTCTCTGGATGGAAGAAGCCAAGTCAGAAAGTATATGGTGAGAGCCTCCCCTGGTTTTCAGGAACATCTGCTCAGCCTTCAAAACAGGGAACAGTATGGACCACAGTGTGGAGGCAGGAAGGTGCCTGACACCGCTGGCATCACTGATGCTCTCAGTCCCTAGTTCTGAACCTGGAGCTCTGCTCTCCATGAATCCTGTTATAACCCAGGTCTTCTGATACTTTCTAACTTCAGGCCCTCAGATCTCTGCACACATGTCATTTCCTCCAGGAAGCACTCCCTGACCCACCAAGACCAGGTCAGTGCCCACCTATGAGACCCCTTCAGACTGTGTATTGAGTTCATAGCCAGCACTGTCCCACTGAACTATAATGGCCTGTCCGTCTGTCTGTCTGTCTCCTCCACTGGACTGTGAGTTCCTCAAGGGCAGAGGACTATCCTGATCATTTTTCAATGCCACATTTGGCAAAGTCACACTACTAAGGAGAAGGTGCTCCAAGCTTTATAAAAGGGATGGATACAAACACTATGGGGTTTCCCAGGTGGTGCCAGTGGCAAAGAAGCTGCCTGACAATGCAGGAGATGTAAGAGATATGGGTTCGATCCCTGGGTCGGGAAGATCCTCTGGAGGAGGGCACAGAAACTCCCTCCAGCATTCTTGCCTGGAGAATCCCATGACAGAGGAGCCTGGTGGGCTACAGTCCAGAAGGCTGCAAAGAGTTGGACACAACTGAGCACATGTTGCAAGCAAGCTTTTCTGACCTGGAAAGTTACCCACTGCCCACACTTGCCCCCACTGCTCCTACCAAGGAGCTGCTTGTGTTCTAATACAGCAGTTCATATGTATACCTAAGATAGTTTAAAAATAAAAGCTGGTATCTACTCTGCACAAAGATGACTCAAAGAGGGAAATCAGAGACCAGCAAGAAGCCCCTGGGAAGCTTTCAGAGGCTTTTGAATTAAGAGGCCTTAATTCTAGGGGCTATCCAACCATCTCATCCTCTGCCACCCTGTTCTCTTTTTGTCTTCAATCTTTTCCAGTGTTGGGGCTTCCCTGGTGGGACAGAGGTAAAGAATCTACCTGCAATGCCAGAGACCCAGGTTTGATCCCTGGGTCGGGAAGGTTCCCTGGAGAAAGGAATGGCAACCCACTCCAGTATTCTTGTCTGGAGAATCCTATGGACAGAAGAGCCTGGCAGGCTACAGTCCATGGAGCCAAATAGAATCAGACATGACTGAGCAACTGAACAATGACAAAAACAATAAAGCTGGCACCCAGTTACATGACCTTAAGTGGGCATTACCTCTTTAGACTTCCGATGCCAGTCTTTACTGTCTCCAGGACCTCGCTCTTTGATCTCTTCCTCGCTGATGCCCATGCGGTTGGAGTAAGTGATGGTGCGCCAGTCCCTGGGTGAGTTGGAGATGCTGGCAATCTTGGATTCTGTGGCGCTGTTCTCCTCCGTCAGGGACCTGGAAGACGGCCTGGTGAAGAGGCTTTTTTTTAAGGCCTGGACACGAAGGCTTTCGCTGTTGCTCCCACTGGCATCTGAGCAGCACCAGTCAGCCGTGTTCTCCAGCTTGGGCCCGTGGGCACCCTTGTGGGCACGGAACATCCGGGGCGAGGCACTCTCATCAGATGGAGCCTCACTGGTCAGAGAATTGAGGTCGATCTGCACGCTCACCTTCTCGGGCTGCTGCATCTTCTGGTCTAGTTTATTGAGCTTGCCCAGGACCTGGGAGATCTCCTCACGCACACCCGACAGTGACTCGAGCTTCCGTTCAATCTCCCCGATCCTGAGCACCAGCTTGCACACGCTGGTCTTCAGCTCCTCTTCTGAGGGGTGGCTGTTTTCCGGCCGGCTGCCCTTCTCCCCTTGGCCGCCGGGGAGCCCATTGGTGATTCTGGTGAGGTGGTGCTCTGGCGAACTGTCACAGTCTGACTTATGAAGCTGCGATAGGGACCCTGTGCTGTTGTAACAGGATGACTGCATGACCCCCGTCGAGCCACTGATGCTCATGTCGTCAAGAAACCGGAAGATGTCGCTGATGTCATCACTGACCACCTCCGAGTCATCATCAGAATGCTTCACGGCATGCCGGTCGCTGTACTTGCCCTGCCCGGGAGTGCACAGGTCCTTGCCTGTTTTGGGCTCCAGCACGTGCAGGTCAGTCTGGGTGCCCACGCTGCTGGTGTCTGAGCTCAGCTGCCCGCTGGCGCAGCTGATGCTCTTGTCTTTAAACTTTTTGACTGGTTCGTGCTTCTCCAGGTCCACAGGGGGCGGGATCTCTTTAGATTTGAGCCCATTGGGCTTTGCTGAGTAGCCGACTGGGAGGATGGGCTGCTGATCCTGTGGTGTTAGGTAAGCGGGGCATCTGTCCGGGGTTGGGAAGTTGGGTGTCTGACTGTTGGAATTTGGATAACGGAGCTTCTCCTCGGAGGGGTTTCTGTTGAAAAACGACCGTTCAAAGTCAGGAACTTCTTCGGTGTTGAGGCTCCAGCTTTTGGCCGGCCAGGGAGTCTGCTTGCCTGATTTGCCAGGACAGCGCCGGGCCTCCTGGGTCCCCATCACTGGAGTGGGTCCAAAATATGTGGAGGCTTGAAGGTCATCTAAGCTCTCGTGCTTTGCCCGCCTCTTGTCAGGAACTGGGGAGTACTCGGGGTTCAGGTACTGGCTGCTGTAGGGCATCTCAAAGCTGTGGTGGGGGAAGGGCGTCTTGTGGGATTCCTTGCGGGCCTGGGACTTTCTGCGCTCGCCCTCGGCCTTGTTGGCCGGGCTGGTCAACCCGGGGGACACGGCCATCAGGTTGTGAAAGTCCTCTTTGAAGATGTTCCTTTTCTGGACACAGGACTGGACCACGAAGGGCTCGTCGTTCGAGATGAAGGTCTGCTTGATGCCCTGGGGGAGGGGCAGGGAGTCCTGATCAGACATGGACTCACTCTCGAGGTTCATGGGGAAGTAGGTTCTCTGCATCTCGCAGGGCTGAGGGCTGGCCACCGAGTATGGGGCCAGAGCCTGCAGCCTGTCCAGGGAAGCTGCCCGGGTTTTCACATCTTTGCCGACCCCCAGCAGGAAGTCATGTTCAGAGGCAGGAATGAACTGTGGACAGTCCTTGCAGTCCACCTTTTTGCACTTGGATGACTGGCGGCTGGGGTAGCCCCGGCTGAAAGGCCGGTCACTCAGCTCACAGTTGAGGGGCTCGCACTCGGCCGCGCTGCATATCTCCGTGTCTGAGCGGCACGAGTCAAAAGAGGCATCTTTCTTGCGCATCTTCTGCCGGCCTCCAGGCAGCTTCTCCTTGGCGGCACCCCCATTCATCTGGATCAGGTTGAATATGGTCACGATGTCCGCAGCCACCATGATTTTCTTGGACTGCTGGTTGTTTACAGCGCATTTCATCTTGTCTTTGAATAACGTGGCTGGGAAGTTGGGGTCAAGACAGGCTGTATAGAAGAGCACACTTCTCAGTTTGGCAAGCTGGGACAGATCGAAGCGGGCACACAAGGATTTGCAGAGGTCCTGGTAGGAGACAGTATTTTGCTTGCTGTCTAATTCCTCCAAGATCTTCACCAAGAAGAGGGACGTTTCCTGGTTGGTCTCCATGGCTTAGAATTTCAGAGGCTAGCTGGTGACACTGGAAACTTTGAGTCAGTTCTGCGGGACTGATGATATGGAAAAATAGTAGGGAAGGGAAAAGAAGATTAGAAACATCAGTGGAGTTTTAAGTCAAGCTGGTCCTGAACCACATAAAGAAATGCAAGGAAAGACTTTTTAATGCTTAGAAATGTTGTAAATGCTTTAAAAATATTTATAAAATACCACGTCATAATTCCCTTCCAAGGAACATTGGACCTGGAAAGTGGGGAATCTAGATTTTCGTCTTGACCTATTGATTAGCACTTAGATGCTGGGCAAAGGCTTTAAACTTTCTGGGAAACTACCTAAATAAATTACGAGTGACTAAAGGAATCTACCTAAAGAAATTATGAATGACTTTGATTTTGCATAAAAATGTTCATTGTGTTTATGTGCAACTGAGTCACTTTGCCGTACACCTGAAACACAATACTGCAAATCAACTATGCTCTAATAAAATATTCTTTTAAATAGTTACAATCATAAAAAAGATGCTCATTATAATAGTGAAAACTAAAACATCTTAAATATCTGAATATTAGGGTAATGCATAAATAAAGCAGGCTATGATATACAGTGATTTCTTACAAACATTAAAATTACATTAATGTAGGGTTTCCCTGGTGGTATAGTTGATAGGAATCCTCCTGTCAATGCAGGGGATATGGGTTAGATCCCTGGTCCGGGAAGATTCCACATGCTGTGGAGCAACTAAGCCTGCACATCACAACTAGTGAGCCCTCATGCCCTAGAGACTGTGCTTTGCAACAAGAGAAGTTACTGCAACAAGAAGGCGGCGCACCACAATGCAGAATAGACTCCGCTCACTGCAACTAGAGAAAGCCTGTGCACAGAACAATGACCCAGGGCAGCCACAAAATAAATAAATTACATTAATGTATATCCTTACAATGGAATACTACTCATCAATAAAAAGGAACAAATTACCAGTACATGTAGTAAATGACATGAATGAATCTGAAATGTATGGTGCTTGAATGAAAGAAGCCAGACTCAAAAGGCTACCTATCATATGGTGATTTTGTCGCTAAGTCATGTCCGACTCTTGTGACTCCATGGACTGTAGCCTGCCAGGCTCCTCTGTCCATGAGATTTCCTAGGCAAGGATACTGGAGTAGGTTGCCATTTCCTTTTCCAGGGGATCTTCCTGATTCAGTTATCGAACCTGAATCTCCTTCACTACAGGCAGATTGAGCCACCAGGGAAGCCCCTCTTGTTATACGGTTCCATTTTTATTATATTCTGAAAATCAGATCTGGGGTTTCCAGACACTGGATGTGAAGCAAGGTGTAGGCAAAATGGCAAGGTGTAGACAAAACTCCATTCTGGATGATGGAGCTCTTTCACATCTTGATTGGAGTGGTGGTTACATGTCTCTCTGCATTTGTCAAAACTCACAGAACTGTGTGCTAAAACGTGTGAATTTTACTTATGTAAATTATATCTTGATTATAAAATTACACATTGGAGACTTTTGATGACAAAAGAAAACTGAGGAATGACATTCTGAGTGAAAAATGTAAAAATGAATCTGTATCTGTAGTAAGATCTTAATTATATAAAATTAAATCTTCTTGGAAATGAAACTGAAGGAAAATAATATACACTAAAATGTTAATGGCTGTTACCTTTGGATTGCAAATATAGATTTTCATTCTGAATTAGTCATCTTTGTTTCTCAATATTTTATTATGCAAATTTTCAAACATACAGCGAAGTTGAAAGAATCTTACAGTGAACACTCATATAGCCACCATCTGGATTCCACCATTAACATTTTACTATATTTGCTTTATCACATATCTATCCATCTACCCTTCATGAAGCCATCTTATTTTTTTTAATGTACTTCAAAACAAATTACAAACATCTGTGTACCTCCTCCTAAAGATTTCACTGTGCCTATAATTAACCTAAGTCCAATAATTGTTTACAGTTTCTCTTTTATTAATAATATAAGATTTACATACAGTGAAGTGCACAAAATTTGTGTGTATTTGCTGAAGTTGTAACAAATGTGTGTGCCCGTGTTAAAAGCAAAACCCCTATAAGATCTGGAATGTTCCCATTGCCCCAAGTCCCTCATACCCCTTCTCATTCAATGACAGTTCTTATTTTTTTTATAGATAACAATATTTTCTTCATAATTTTTTTTCTTTTCCAAAATTCCTACCATGACCACACATTATTTTTTGTCATCACCAAATCAACACAGGAGACGTTAAGAGATGCAGGTTCGATCCCTGGGTCGGGAAGATCCCCTGTAGGAGGGCATGGCAACCCACTCCAGTAATCTTGCCTGGAAAATCCCATGGACAGAGCAGCCTAAGGGCTACAGTACATAGGGTCACAAAGAGTCGGACATGGCTGAAGCGATTTAGGACACACACATACAAACAATAATTAATCTTATTTTGAAGTGGAAAGAAAAATCTGCATGAATGAAACTTGGATGGAAAAATGAAAAACATCAAACCAAATATGGACCCAATTTCTGAGATTTATAAGGAAATATCAAATTACACATAAGAACCTTGCCAGTCACTACGTAGCAGAGGCATTTTGATGACTGACTTATAGATTGTCAGGTTGACTCGTCCCATACCCAGCCACGAAGCTTCCCAAGTGGCGCTAGTGGTAAAGAACCCCCCTGCCACAGCAGGAGGCGCAAGAGACATGGATTAAATCCCTGGGTCAGGAAGATCCTCTGGAGAAGGAAATGGCAACTCACTCCAGTATTCTTGCCTGGGAAATCCCATGGACAGAGGAGCCTGATGGGTTACAGTCCACAGGGTCGCAAAGAGTGGGACACAACTGAGAGCACACACACACACACACACAGCCTGTTTTCTAGGGGAACAGTGTCTTTTTTAGGGGTTAAATTTCAGCTGCTCTGGACCACGGGTTTTCTCTCCATCCTGAAGGCAGTGCTCCCAGTGAGAATCTATACCCTCTCTCCATGAATGTCTGCAGGGACATGCAGAAATGAGTGGCCTGGATTTTCTTGTATGGAAAAGGCAGTTGAGCTCTGAGAGGCTCTGCTCCTGCCCAGAACAAGTCACAGGGAAACCCTCATCTCCCCACACAGATCTCCCTCCCTGCCCCATCCACCCACTTCATCTGATGGGAGTGCTGCATGTCAGAATGTTCTGGTTTGCTCCAGGTGGGGACAACCTGCCAAGCTCAATCTTCAAGGAAACAGGCACAGAAACCTGAGCAGAGGACAAATGAATGTAAATACTTAGGAAAGAGCAATCACAACTCAGGCACATCAGATTTTATATACAGGGGACACAAAGCATTTTCAGAAATTCTAGAATTATTTCAGAGATTTCTAGAATTCTTGTAACAATCCTAGGAGGCTTCTTTCACTATCAGTTTCTGACAGACCAGCAAACAAGTTCGGAGCCCTGCAAGCAGCAAGCGGGAGCAACAAGGATCCTCAGAGCTGGACTTGCAGTCCAACCCCGCGGACCTCCCCCAAACCCAAGACCCCACTTTCCTGCGAGGCTGTCTCAACTTTCTATTCTACTTTGTGTGGTGAAAATTCTACTAATCCCAGGTCAAATAAGAACTTGGAAAATCAAGGCCCAGCATCTCCTGAAGTGAATAAAGGCAACACAAGTGGGATATGTCTAAACCTGAGTTGTTTTCTATTAAGACTGAAATTTAGGGGATTATGAACGGCTGGCAGGGCAGGCAGGTGCCCCTGTGCCAATGGACACATGCCTGCTGTGTGCTTAAGGCGATTAATCACCGCAGAGAAATCCATGTAGGTTTTCTACAATGTGCCAATGAATGCCAGAGAGGAAGAAGGAGCAAAAGAGAAGCCAATCGAAAAACAATTTCTAGGCTCTGTGCAATAGGATCTGGCCTGCAGCACACGGTCCCCGGCAGCTACCTCCTCAGGTCACAAAACAGCTCTGCGGTGTGGGAAGAGTGCTCCCATTTTGCAGATGAGGAAACTGAAGAGAGGGGAGGGAATGTGAGCTGCCTGGGGCCCAAATGGACCACAGCCCGGGCTGGGGATGCTATGGGCAGAGTAGTAGGCTCCGTCTTGTGCCAGGAGGAGGGAAAGCATTGCTGCTAAGGGACAGAAGTGAACTGGGGCGGGCGGGAGGTGCTGAGCAGGACAAGCACTGCAGTTAGACCACCTACTATGTGCCGGGGCTTCACACAGAACGTCCACAGCAGCCTGGAGAGTACAGCACCACCACTCGGCCACCTGTGCGGGAGGATGAGGGAAATGAGGCCAGAGGGAGAAGGAAATGCCAGGTCTGAAGCCAAATTTGCTGAATGCTGGATCTTGGATGCTTCTCTTAGTGATGACAGAGCAAGGAGGAAATATCAGCCCGAGATCTCTGGGGGCTAAGCGAATCTGCTGTGGAAGGTGCACATGAGTGTGCACACGGAGACACACACACAGTCACACACAGCGACACACAGCGACACACTCATACACTCACACACACTCATACATGTTCACACACACAGTCACACACAGAGACACACAGACATACTCATACACTCACACACATTCATACACACACAGACACACTCATACACACACACATTCACACAGAGACACACACTCACACACTCACACACTCACACACATTCATACAGATACACTTATACAATCATACATGTTCACACAGAGACACACACACTCATACACTCACAGACATTCACATAGAGACATATACTCATAGACACACTCACATACTCACACATGTTCGCACCCAGAGACACACACACAGACACACTCATACATTCACACACATTCATACATACAAATCATCTGAGCAATAGTATGTACACTGAGCAAGGGACCACAGTGAGCCCCCAGGCCAAGCCCCTCCACCTTACAAACTGGAAAACAGGGCCGAGGATCATCATTTTTCAAAACTACATGGAGAGCTAGTGGCAGAGTCAGCCCCAGTTCA